TTAGGCCTTAAAACTTCTTGCATTTAAGGAATGACTGTAATATTTTTTCTGTCTATGAAGAAATAACATCAAAAATGTGGTGCACACTGAATAACCCGCGTAGCGGTTTATTTGAAAGTGTGCACCACATTTTTTATGTTATTTCGAATAGACAGAAAAAATATTACAGTCATTTCTTATAATTTAATTCTAAATTCCATTTTAAACCGGAGTAAACCATGAAAAAACGTTGATGACGTCACGGTCACATGAAAAAAATATGTCTATGAGCTGATAAACAAAACAACGTCAGCCAATCAGAAGACGCGTTACATCCAAAATTAAATTATTAAGGGATAAACGGGTTTTGCGTATTTGTGATATATTCTCATGAATGTAAAGATAGGGAACAGCATTGTGCGGCCAAAAGATATTTTGTCATAACATGTATTATGCAAAGATGTTGTTGTGAGAAAAAGCAAACACTACAACCCCCCTTAACCCTCTTACTGCGGGAAGGACATATGTGTCCTCTCCTGGCTTACTGCGGGAAGGACATATATGTCCTTATGTATGCGAAATACGGTTGTTTTTCAAGATTTCATGGCATGTGCTAAAACTATACCCCCTCCATCCTTTATTCCATAGAATATAAAAATTGGAAAGATATCTTTGTTTTTTTTTACTCTTCTTTTACTTAAAACGTCATTATAACGTCATAAATCATATGACGTCATAAGACGTCGCAATCGAGTTGACGGCAAAATAGAGCTAAAAAATTTAGCAATGAGCGATTTGGAATCCGAAGAATCCATGGAATATGAATCAGAAATGTCCGAAATTGGTACAGATTCAGATAGCAATTTAGAGAATGAAACGTTTAATCATGGTCCATGGTTTCCGGTATTAAACACTGAAGAGTTTTATATGCCAGACATGCAGCAATTTCGGCCGGGGAAATCGTTTAGGACCAGTTGATATTCGGCCAGATGACAAACCACATGAAATATTCTTATCCATGGTGACTGACCGAGAAAATGTAGAGAACAATGTGGTGGATGTTCTTGTACAAGAAACAAACCGATATGCTGAACATCGGATATCAATGGGAAATTTGAAACCACGATCAAGGCTTCAAATGTGGCGCCCAGTATGCAATGAAGAGATGAAAGCTTTCATCGGGCTCTTGCTGTTAATGGGCATAATCCAGAAGCCAACAATAGCTTCGTATTGGGAAACTCAGGATAAGTTGTGGTTGAGAAGAACTCCTTCCTTCCGTTCTGTTATGGCAAGGGACAGATTTTTGGCAATTCTATCTAATCTACATGCAAGTAATAACCAGACAGCACTACCAAGGGATCATCCACAATATGATCCAATGCACAAAATTAGACCAGTTATTGATGTTTGCAACACAGCATTTAGGAAGAGTTACAGGTACAACATTACAGGTACAACATTACAGGTACAACATTTTTACAGGGTCATAATTTTGCGAGATTTTATATTAAAATGACCCTCTTTTTTAATGACATCCTATATTAAAATGCATTTACGTTTGCTAACTGTATATTGATTTGAAGTATGATCTACATATCATATATAAATATGCCATGATTGAAAATCTTACATTTATAATGGTCAATTATTATATTAGATTAAATCAATGCATTTGAAAGTTCACCTTTCAAACAAGTTCCCAAATGAAACCTGGATGTAAATTCATATATTAAAAAACTTAAGGGTATCTGTATATTTATGAATTATGAGTGATGTATAGATTTAGTGCTTATATATAAGCATCGGTCATATTTTAAATATTGTTTATAAGTATAGGTCATTCTTTCTTAAATATTAATATAACTATAGGTACTGAATTTCAGTGAATGTTATATTAAAATGGGTACGTTTTTTGAGGCAAAAATGGCACACCCCTACAAAAAAAAATCGAAGTAACCCTCCCCCCCCCCCCCTCTCGTATTTCATCCGATGAAAAAATACGCTTTAAAACTTCCAGTGGCAAATATTGCATGCATATCCGGACAAAAGTCGATTGCTAAAGATTAACATAAACAAAAAAAAGTAAATAAACATGTTAAATAAATACACAAACAAATAGATACACATTAGCTACTTGTAATTGTTATTAATCCGTGTTTTCAAGATAGATGTACTTCCAAACGGAAGAGTTAATTTGGATACAAAAAGGTTATTTTCATCCGAAGTGTACTTTACTAAATGACATATGCAATGGCATTGAGGTCGATCCATTCTCTCTATTCGCAGTCAGACAACAGTTCCTTTTTGTATCGCTTTTCCAAGCACGTCAAATAAATCTATATTTTTACAAATATGTTAAGATATTATTCTCTTTTCTTTGTTGTTTTATAAAATTTTCAATTAATTCGACCATGACATGTAACTTTATTGAACTGTGTAATTGTAAATATTAAAAAAAACTCAATTAAAAAAAATAGTAATTTTCATTAGAAATATTTTCTCCGTCAGGCTAGGAAGAGATATTTGTGTAGATGAACGAATAGTAGGATTTAAAGGTAGACATAATATCGTCCACTACATTTCAAAGAAAAAATCTCATCAGTGGGGAGCCAAGGTATGGGTTCTTAGTGAGTCTGATACTGGATATACCGAGCACGTACAGTTGTACTATGAAAGGCGTAACCGTCTGCAGCCATATCCTCATGGAGTTGGCTATTCAGTTGTAACAGAGTTAATAGAGCCACACTATAATAAATTTCATCATGTAACAACAGACAGTCTCTTTACCAGTCCAAAACTCACTCACGACCTACTTGGCAATGGCACTTACTCCACCGGAACAGTCATTGCCGGCAGAAAGGGAATGCCGTTGAGTTTCAAAACCTTAAAAACCCCTAAAGGAACTGTCAAGGCTAAGAAACAGGGAAATATACTAGCAATTCATTGGTCTGATCGTCGACAGGTGCGATTTCTTACATCGTCTGATCATTGCAGGTTTGTTATTTTCATATAAGCTATGTTCAGATAAGCTGCCTAAGGACCTTTATAATAAATATATGATTTAAGATTTTTTTAATTTTTGTAATTTGATGTATAGAGTTTTCAGATCCTAGTAATGATGATGATAATAGTGATAAAAACAACAACAACAATAACAACAATAACAATAAAAATGATGATGATGATGATGATGATGATTGATTTGTTTCTGTTGTAGCAAATATAGTTTAACTTTGTAATTTGAAAGTAAAGTTATATTCTATCATGATTATTTTTATTGCAAGGTTGGAAACTGCTTCAAATTCTAAGGGAAAGGAAAAGGTCGCTCCGGGAGTTGTGCACACTTACAATGAAAACATGGGGGGAGTAGATTTAGGAGATCAACTAATATCAGTTTATGATCCAGACATACGTTCAGTGAAACTATGGAAAAAGATTCTTGTTAATCTTTTATTGACTGCATGTGGTTAGTATTTTAGTAATTAGAATACTATTTTTTGATAATCAAAGGTACCATCAAACAAGAAAAAAAGGAATGGGAATTATTTGTCGTTCATATATATACGTATACAAAGTGATTCGGATAATCAATATTCAATGAATGTACGTCTACCTACTGCGTCTGTCCGAAATTCCGAATGATCCTTCCGGTAGAAAACCAACGTCCGTCTTATTAGCAAACATTTCAACATACATATGCTATTATATCCGTATTTATTATCATTAAAGAAGTATCTTAATTAGCTGAATTTAGGATGTCAAAAATATAACGTACACTGATGTATAAGATTTTTACGCATAAAAATTTGTCAACTAAAATACATATAATGTACAAAGTACAAAATTGTTTTTGCGTATAAAGACTAAATATCACTACACGGCAGTCACACAATAACGTAATTGCTGAAACGAATTTGGACGTGATTTCACAATTAACTCTAAATTATGCAATTAATATTTCCAAATAATTTTTGATTCAAAAACTATTATTTAACTATTTTATTCCGTTCCTGCTTACAGTGAATGCATATATTTGCCACAAGAGATCATTCCTCTTGGGGAAAAAGTCAACCCATCTCCAGTTCCAACAGGACATTGTGACCGGCTTAGTTGGGGAATATAAAATTCAGAGTCGAGTTTTTGGTAGGAATGGACAAGAAATGGGTCATAGAGCAACATCAGAGCATTTCATGTATGAAATCCCTCGAGGAAAGAGGAGGAAATGTGTTTCCTGTCACAATAGGAAGGTTCGAACTTGGTGCAAACAGTGCAGAGAAGGTCTCTGTCTTGGAAAGTGTTTCAAAGATTATCACAAACACAAGCAACGTGAACACGAAGAGTAAAATAAAATTGTGGAATTCTTTTAACAGTGTTTAGTGTGCAGTATTACTATATGTTTACGTAACGATGGGTTACGATTTGTGAAGTGAACTGTCATTGAACCAAATTAAAAATTGGAAAAATGTATGATTTTTTTCTGTCGACCAAATAAAGATACACGTATACACATTTACTGTAATTTGATACGAAAAAAGACAGCTACACGCACCCTTCTCAAAATCATGACATAAGAAAGATCAGTTGTATAGGTCTCAAATAATTTATTTAACGCTTTCGTAAGTGAACAGAATAACTGGAAGAATAATCTTGTGGTTGCATTACGTTTCGGAAAAAAATTATGTTTTTCTTCTTAGCACTGCAAAGTGCTTGACGTTATTTAATTGAAAAGCGCCAAACTTGCTGTAGACGTGACGTTTTTACCTTGTGACGTTATATGATGTCATATTAGGAACGTTACTTTTCAAAAAAAATAACGTGCTTACTGTATATCTAGTTATGTCCCTAATTATTCATTTTAGAATACAAGATTTTACAACAATTCACTGAACATGTTATTTGGTACTGAAATTGTGCCGTTTCTGGACAGTGTTTTGTAAAATCGGCCCGCACTAAGAGGGTTAAACAATACAAAACAACATGAGTGATGAGCGTTGAATCTAAAACTAGTAAAATGTATATACCTGTACAGCGACACTGCCTCGTGTTATCATCACATGTATATCCAATCGAAACTATCTGTGGAAACAGATAACAAATGTCTTCGGCCCTTCCGTAGCAATTGTCATGTTTTCGGCAACATCTACAAAAATTTAATTTTCTTTATATTCGTATAATTTTATATGAACATTAATACTTAAACAAAACCATAGGAAAATGTTACATGTATGGACATTTTTACTTGATACGTTTGTTTTACTGACTTTATTGTTGCTGCGTGGTGAAAATTTCCATAAAATACAAACGTCTGTACAGTTCTATTGGGGGTGGGTGGGGGGTAAATGAAGTGTGTGGTCCACTCAATGGCATGGAAGGCAACTTTTATTAAATATTGTAGACATTTTGTAAAAGTTTGCACTAAGAAGCAATCAAAAATTGTATCTGAAATCACACAAAACTTTACTTTTGTTAGAATTCTGTTTTACTTTGGAATGCCATTCGCGTGATTTTTTTATGTTTTGTGTTTTTTTATGTTTTGTGTCTCCTTGGCGTATACCAACATATCAGTTTTTCCATATTCAGTTTTTAATCAATTATGTCACTGATATCAAAATTGCGTTCCTAATTTTATTGAATATTCATAATACTATTTTCAAAACAATGAGGTACATACTAGTACACGAGAATATGAAACTGTGAATTTTAGTAAAGATTCAAGGCCTATTTGAAAATGAACTAGCTGATGAAATAAACACAAGGCAAATAGTCCCGACCTCTTTGAATCTTGTGGGTGCCACTGCTGGTGGATAGTCCAGTCACCAGCCTAGTAGTCAGCACTTTTGTGTTGACATCAAATTTTTATGATGAGATCATATTCTGTGAATGTACTAAGGTTTGTCTACCGCCACCCCCCCCCCCCCCCCCCTCCCCCCCCCCCCCCCAATCCCCACCCCACATATGCATTTATTGCCTTAGCCGTATTTGAATTCGGCACAATTTATCGAAATTTTTGATTTTCAGTACACTTCAACTTCGTATTAGATTTGGCCTTCCAACTGTTTTGATTCAAACACCAACGATGAGTCTTCTTGACGAAACGCGCTTCAAATACACCAAATTTTAAGCATTGTATCTTTGATGGATATTATTTGCTCTAAATTATACTATGATACTTTAAGCAATCAACAATCAATCAACCAACCCATGCATTACATTGAAAATTCAATAGAACTTTATGGCGTCAGTAACTTCAACATGAAGATTTTAAACACAATCACCATCGTGCAGGTTATTAGCAAAACTTATTCAGTAAAAACAGAAATCTTGCTGTAAAGAATGCATATTGATAACCCCTTAAGCAATTTGATATACAATTAAATTTTTGGTGGTTATCACTGGTTAATCGATATTTATGCAAGTTTTGCTGTAAATATCGCATGAAGTATTTCTAGCGTTCGCGAGGGCTCGGTGGCCGAGTGGTCTAAGTAATCGAACTACTGTATCACTAGCCTGTCAACACTGTGGTTGTCATGTCGTAATTCGAATCCTGCACGTGGCAGGTGCGTTCGACTCCAATCTTTATTGACTTGGATTGTCAGTTTTCTTACCGAAGGTCCATGGTTCGCACCGGGCACTCCGGCTTCCTCCACTAATAAAAATTGACCGCCATGGAATAGCACACTAGGGCTGGAAATGGCGTTAAACACCAATCAATCAATCAATTAACAAATCAATCTGGCATTCGCATTCAATTCGGTCATATATAATTATACTTGTTAATATCCGATCCATTCTTTGTTATGATCACTTATTCATTGTAAACACTTAACCTTTTCAAATGTAAAGTTACAGTACTTACATATCAGCATAATCCCTTGGTTTGCCAACAGCTTGTCCATAACCACAATAGCAACCATAGTCGTTATAATCAGTACATGTCCTGTTTGTATAATAGTTGATCAGAGTACATAGCTGGAAGATGGTTCTCTTCTGGCGAACAGACCGTGATTCAACATGTGTGACTAAAATTGACAATTTCAATATTATTAAATCTATGTTAAGGGGTATAACTCTTATTGATTGGTGCCATATGTAGATCAGGATCTGCTTACCTTTCCGGGGCACCTTCAGGAGATCATCCCCGCGGTGTTTGGTGGGTCCGTGTTGCTCAGTCTTAAGTTTTCTATGTTTTGTTTTGTTTTGTAGACTTGTTTGTCTTTTGGTCGTTTTTCATTTTTGCCATGGCATGCATCCAGGTCGTTTTCGACTTATGAGTTCGACTACTCCTTTGGTATCTTCCACTTCTCTAAGAGATCTCTTGTACGTTCCATGCAAAAATAATGTACACTTTTAAAATCAATTTAATCCTGTACCACAAAAATGTTTAAAATACATCGATGAAACGGCCTATTAGAGGTCGTCGACCATTTGATATTCTGGGGTGGGAGGATTGATTTCGCATTGACTTTTCATTTTCATCTGTTGCTACAAATGTATGCATGCTTATTTTTGTTTGCCGTGCGATAATTTATTTGCACTTGTACAAGATTGGTTCCTGCATTTGCTGTTGCAGTATATGTCAAATTAAGTTAATAAGAAGTTTGAGGGACATTGGCCATCTGTCAAGTTAAGTTAATATGAAGTTTGATGGACATTGGACATCTGTCCAGTTAAGTTAATATAAAGTTTGAGGGACATAAGACATCTATCAGGTTAAATAAATATGAAGTTTGATGGACATTGGACATCTGTCAAGGTAGTCTGGTGTGATCTCTTCTGTCCGAAAAAATTTATATTGTTCATTTTATAAAGTGAAAATATGTAGTCAGGGACATGGGACAGTGGTGTAACAGTACAACATAAGAATAAATTATAAAAATCAGTTGAAAAAGGCTTAACTCATCAGAACGATGCAAAGCAGAAAAACTTCTAACAATAACACAGACCGGACGTGGCAGGGTATTTATACATCCCCACACAATAAAAAAGACACAAAGTACAGATCTGAGAGTACTCGCAGTTACTGACAGCTAATTCAAAGCTAATATGAACTAATTAAAATAATCATGCATCTAATTTAAAAATAAGGTATGATTGCCAATGAGACAACTATCCAAGTGGATGTAAGCAATTATAGGCAACCGTAAAGAATGATAAGTATTGAAGGTTGCCTTCTGTAAAATATATCTTGACTATACATTTAAGTTTAAAATAAGCTGGATTTATCCGTCTATCTGAATCAGAGTTCAATTTGATAACAGTGATTAATATAGTTATCAGTATATTCAAAACGAAAACCTTTCTAAACATGGAATAAAGATAAAGATGAAAGAAATGATGCATTAACGAACATTGAATCCAATATAAAATTTTATTTTAGGTAATTGTAGAACTCGGCTAGAACGGCTACCTATATCAACATTTACATAGAAGTGTTATCATTTATTCAAAGGGTTTTTGCAATTAAACCAGAAAAAGACGAGATAGTACAGCGATTCATATTGCCATACAAAAATATAAAAAGTAAAATAACAAAAATACCGAACTCCAAGGAAAATTCAAAACGGAAAGTCCCTTATCAAATGGCGAAATCAAAAGCTCAAACACAACAACCGAATGGAAAACAACTGTCATATTCCTGACTTGGTACAAGCAGTGATAAGGTATCAATTTGATGACATAAAATTAGAAACAATTAAGAATTCATTCCAAATTCCTAACTATGAAAGTTTTACTGCATCTAGCAAATTTGAGATAATGACACGTTTCCTGTGTTATCAAAACCAATTGCTCTTTTTAGAACAAGGGTAAAGATACAATAACTATTTATTACTTCTATGTAAATAAGATGTAGTCGTCTCATATCTTAGAAGCAGACGCCACTCAGATATGAGAATACTGCATTTAATACTTACGCCAAGATGTCATTAAATGTATTAACCATACTTTCATGGTGCATGTAAATAAGATACACACAATCAGACTAACACCCTCATCTTATACATACAATATGATCATGCATGCAAGATATGAACATTATTTATCAGTAAAATTCAGGGTTCATACGAAATACTGACACAGATTTCATGAAGAAAGGTCAATAAACTTTGTTTCTTTTAATTTAATGATTACCGTCCAAAAACTGTTACAATTATATTACTGCACCCTTGACTATTTCTGTCTTTTTATTTGCAAAACAGCTGCCTCCATCCCTTTTCCCTATTGTGGTTTTATCTTGAAAAAGGATTAAATGTTGGCCTTTACCGTTAAACTTCTTATGTATAGAAATTCTTTCAATATAAAATAATTCATGCTGTTGACCTTTTTCTTTATTTTTATTCTATTACTTAGTACCATAAGAAATATCAGAGATGTTGCAAATTTTCTTCAAGCCATATATAAGTCAGCTGTGAAGACTAGACTACAGCTTCATAATGATGACTTCGTATTTATTATTAACATTCCGTACATTTGGGCAATCCTTTCAACAGTCTAGGCATAAAAAAATACACAAATAACATAAAGATAAAAGACACAACTAACATAAAGACAAAAGACACAACTAACATAAAGACAAAAGACACAACCAACTAACATAAAGATAAAAGACACAACTAACATAAAGACAAAAGACACAACTAACATAAAGACAAAAGACACAACTAACATAAAGACAAAAGACAAAAGACACATAACATAAAGACAAAAGACAAAACTAACATAAAGACAAAAGACAAAACTAACATAAAGACAAAAGACACAACTAACATAAAGACAAAAGACACAACTAACATAAAGACAAAAGACACAACTAACATAAAGACAAAAGACAAAACTAACATAAAGACAAAAGACACAACTAACATAAAGACAAAAGACACAACTAACATAAAGACAAAAGACACATAACATAAAGACAAAAGACACAACTAACATAAAGACAAAAGACAAAACTAACATAGAGACAAAAGACACAACTAACATAAAGACAAAAGACAAAATTAACATAAAGACAAAAGACACAACTAACATAAAGACAAAAGACACATAACATAAAGACAAAAGACACAACTAACATACAGACAAAAGACAAAACTAACATAAAGACAAAAGACACAACTAACATAAAGACAAAAGACACAACTAACATAAAGACAAAAGAAACAACTAACATAAAGACGAAAGACAAAAAAGAACAAATCGAAGAGTACTTGCAGTTACTGAAAGCTAGTTTAAAGCCAATAACAAATGATAATAAATCATGTTTTTCAGGACTAGTACTTAAGCATCAATCAGTGCACACATCCAACGGATTTAGTGTGCAGACGTCATAAACAGTCCAAAAAAGGCATAACCTTGTGCAATGCCAAAATATAGGTACATAATAAAACCATAAGTTTTAATAACTGTATATCAATACTTTCATATTTAGTTATGATTTGTTATATATTTAAATAAAAAATCAATGTAAGTACCGATAAAAACAATATTCAAGGATTTTACTACAGTATTAAATTGATACCCTTTTAAAATAAATTTATCAAATGTGAAAGGATAGTAATTGGCAGATCGGGTATGTGTTCGAGATTATGAAACTTACCAAGGTTGCTACATACAATTATTACAAATAAAAGAGATGCTGACGATATAGTTATCATTTTTCCACTAATCCTCATCTTTTCTGTCTGAAAAAAAATAATGAAATGTGATATTTGTGAAAAATGATAGATTAAAAAAGTATGCAATAAGAAAATGTTCAATTAGCTGTTATCTGTCTTCTTTTATTTATTTTCCTTTCGTATAAATAATAAATCGAGATGATACATTTCTTTTTCTTCTCTAAGACCTTTCATTGATAAATAACTACCAACAAACAACGACGACTTGACTCCCACCTCAATTATAATCAAATCAAATCATATTCACAAGTATTTAATATTAAAAAAAAAGAAGAAATTGACATCAAAATGAACAAAACCTTACCACAGTTTATCGCCTCACACATATATGAATGAAAATAAGAAAATAAAGACCACCGCTATCTCGCTGGACTTTGCTCAACCCTGTAGACGTCTGAGTGTTTGATAGTCAATAACTCAAATCAAACACAATTGATCAATACACAAACAAACAAACAAACAAACAAATAGATAAATATAAATAAACAATATTTGTGAAAATGTCATTCTCAGTAGGAAGATCGGCAAATATTTTGATTAATAGAACTGAATATATTCTGGAGACGGATGACAATAACAGAAAGAAATAGTTGGATTTTTTAAAATATTTTCAGTGATTTGTTGGATGCACATTTTATTTTTTGCACGTAAAGTGCATTTTGACATTTTGTATCAGAACAAGCACACGCATTAAGCTTTGGTTTTTTTTCTTCTGTTAATTTCAAAATTAAGGATTAAAATTTAAATTACTTTTAACTCATTAAAAAGGGGAATACACAGGAGGTTCGGATTGTATTATTTCACTTTGAATCACTTTGAAAAGATCGACACTGACGAAGGCCATCTACTTCAACTTCGTATTTATCTTTTATCGGAATCGCTGCACAATTATTTTGACTTTTTATATATATTTTTTTGCTGATTGTAGTATCGTTGGTCCTAGGCGATCTGATACATGTGAAGTTTTCTTGTTGGTTATAATTCTTATTTGAAGACTCTTTTATTAAAAAGTTGATTGTCCCACCTGGTATTTTCTGCTCTTTTGACTAACATTTCATCTCTACCATAGTTACACGTGTATATAGATAGTAGAACGTACAAAGACCTTACATACAAACTAATGAATCCTAATAAACCTAACGTGACTGAAGGAAAGGATATCGGGGTAGTAAATAAGACAGATGTCATTCTAAAACCACAAAGGCAGAAAGGTGAATAAAATATTTCATACTTCTCTGAGAAAGCCAACTCGCTCTTTGCATTGCTGAGAAAGACTTTAAAGATAAGTAAACTCAGAAACATTCACTTTTTTAACCGTTTGATTGAACGTCACTGACGAGTCTTTTGTACACGAATATGGGGTATAAAATTTTAATCCTGGTATCTATGATTTTATTTGCCTTATTTTTGTACCAAACGTCAGTGAGAACCACAACTTGGCAATTTTTGTATGGGAATCATACAAAAAAAAAAAAACGTATAGACATGACTATACTATGGAAACAACATCTGCCCCATTTTGTAGAAAAAGTTTATGATGGCTCAGAGGGAATCATATGCATTAAACTAAATGTAAAGACATTACAATTCTGTAAATCTTTGTATGCCATGCAGAGGGTTAACACAGGCAAATGAACACTTCGAAGAATGTCTAGACCAGCTTCACAAAATAATAGTCAAATACTTTGATACATGTACCCCTGTCCTGTGTGGAGACTGGAATTGTGATCTGATGAAAACCACAAATAAATCAGCATCGATTAGAAGTTAACGTTTAATTAAAGCAACCCTATTAACGTTCATTCATCCGAATAGAAATGAAACATGAACAATTGATGATACCTTTGTACATGACAGTCTGGCTGACAAAGTCTACAACACTATAAGACTGGATATGTTATGTACATGACAGTCTGGCTGACAAAGTCTACAACACTATAAGACAGGATATGTTATGTACATGACAGTCTGGCTGACAAAGTCTACAACACTATACGACAGGATATGTTATGTACATGACAGTCTGGCTAACAAAGTCTACAACACCAAAAGACAGGATATGTTATGTACATGACAGTCTGGCTGACAAAGTCTACAACACTATAAGCCTGGATATGTTATCAAACAACACATATCCACCGTTAACGTAAAAAGAAATAGAAATTGTAACCAAGAAAGGACAAGACTAGACTTTAACATCAAATAGAATAAAATGGAAAAAAGATTTTTACAACAATATCAGGAATGTTTCAGAATCAAAAGCCTCGAGAAAAGTCTACTTGAATACATTAACGATTCAACTGCTATAACCAAACTAATTGGTGCCAAATTAGAGCTCAAAACAGCATAGTACCATCAACCAAAATATCAACACAACGATCCAAAATAAACATGTGTACGGATTGATAATTTAGTCTTAGATGCATGATTTTTTTTATTAGTTGTTAGTGGCTTTGAACTAGCTGTCAGTAACTGCGAGTACTCTCAGATCTGTACTTAGTGTCTTTTTGTTGTTTGGATGTACAACTACCCGGCCACGTCCACTTGTATTTGTAGTATTTGTATTTTTATCCATCTGATGAGTTAAGCCTCTTTCAACTGATTTTTATAGTTTGTTCTTATGTTGTACTGTTACACCACTGTCCCAGGTTAGGGGGAGGGTTGGGATCCCGCTAACATGTTTAACCCCGCCACATTCTGCATGTGCCTGTCCCAAGTCAGGAGCCTGTAATTCAGTGGTTGTCGTCTGTTTATGTGTTACATGTTTGTTATTCGTTCATTTTTTGTACATAAATTAGGCCGTTAGTTTTCTCGTTTGAATTGTTTTACATTGTCATTTCGGGGCCCTTTATAGCTGACTGTGCGGTATGGGCTTTGCTCATTGTTGAAGGCCGTACGGTGACCTATAGTTGTTAATTTCTGTGTCATTTGGTCTCTTGTGGAGAGTTGTCTCATTGGCAATCATACCACATCTTCTTTTTTATATATATTGTGAATGATGACACAGAATTTTCATTGAAAATTAACAAATCATCACTTGATAAAAACCAACAGTTTGTGTGAAACAATGCAAGAACGAAAACGAACTAAAAAGCATTTGCGCAAAGCCAGAAGACAAGAAATTGCATGGCAACGAGATGGGTCGCTACATAGAATGAAAGCTAAACAAGGAGACAACAAAATATTTCATAAGCTTGTAAATGCACAAAGGAAAACTTAAAGCAACTGCTATAAACAGATTTTAAGATAGAAGAGGCAAAACATATTCTACAAAGGCAGAAATACTCAAAGGTTGAAACGAACATTTCAGCAAGCTCGCAACACCTGAGTCTAATAACCGAAATTCTGACTATAACAACAAAGAATTCGATATAGACACTAGTGAAGAAAGCTGTAATCAAAATGCTGTACCCCTAGTTTTTATATCAGAAGAGATTGACAAAGCCATTAATCAGTTGAATATCGTCAAGGCAACTGATATTTACCGATGAACACATAAGGTATGGTGGATAAATAACATCTGTTCTTCTGCAACCGTAATATATTGCATAATATAAATTCGTTTACGGTTTAATTCGACAGGAATTCAACTAGGCAAAAATTTAGCGTTAATTTTGTTCCGAAAAAAAGAAGAGATAATATCATGGTTTATTCATAACAAAATATTCCTGCACACACTTGAAATAACCAAAAGAATGAAACAGCGGGGTATAATCAACAAAGCAGGCAAGAATTGTTAAAGAAATCTAACAATACTGTAATAATCTGCCAGACTCTTTCACAGCAAAATAAAAAATCAATACAAACAAAAACATGTATAACTATAAGGTACATCAAGTTATAAGTTATTTCCCGAATATGGTAAAGATGGACTGCAGAACAATTTATATAAACAAAGAAAATTAAAGTAGCACTCAAGAGAAGTTGTCTCAAGAATAAATAAGCCTTAACCTTTAATATAAGTGCTAATCTGTAGACACAGTTTAGTATGCACGACAGCCTTTCGCTGTCTCGAATTCAGATCCTTCATCAAAGAAAGGAGAGTGGGCATTGATAGGACTTTCCAATACTATCTCTGTTAGGTTATTGGTTACTTAACTTTCAGTGGCAAATATTCCATGCATATTAGAGACAGATATTTAAGTTCCTTGCCCTGTAAGATACTAATTCTAAATTGTTAATGCGATTCATGATATTGTTCACACTTTTCAATGCATCCTATGTATGCCTGATCTTTATGGGAATTTAATATACCAAAGGTTTACTTCAAACTGAACCTCACATGCATTCTCTTAATTATCTTGCAAGAGTCAGTTCTATTTCAGTTTTATCACGAATATCATTGGCTAAGACCTAAGTTGCTCAAGATTGAACAAAACGTTTATTACTACAGAACAATTAATCTTACTTCACTTTACTCATTACGTCTTGACAAATACGAAATATAAGTTGATAAACAACCTGAGACAAAATGACATCTGTATACAAGCAACTAAAGATACATGTACGGTCTTCAACAATGAATTAAACCTATTCTGTATCGTAAGTTATAAACACATACACCTATTTGCAAACGTTTTGTTCAATGTTTCAATGTATAGGTACCACATAAAAATGTTTAGGGGATAATTTATTGTGTTTAACAACGACATTTTGTGCCACTATCTTATTAAAAAAGATTTTTTTTTCTGGTGAAATTATTCCAGTTTCGAATCTATGTATTTTTTAAAATCCATTGTGTACCATGACATCAACATTCAACAACCACAACATAATTCAGTGTACAAATTATTGCCATCATAAATTTGATGACGTCTTTCTATGTCTTACGTCACCACATTTCGATAAAGGCCATAGATTTGAGACAAAAATGGCCATAGATTTGAATTAATAAAGGACATAGATTTGAGACAATACAGGACATAGATTTGAGACAATAAAGGACATAAATTTGGAACGTCTATGACGCAATATTGAAATGGACATAGATTTGCGGAAAGGACATAGATTTGAGGCTTACATATATGTACTATGTTTAACCTATTTTTAAAGCAGAATCATACACCATGCACAACAAATATTTAATAAACCATTTTCTTGACAAGTATGGTTATTTAAATACACATCATTTTGTAAACTTTGATGTGGGAGTATAACATATCATTAATAAGTTGCATGTAATTGCCTGGATTGAAATCTAAAGAATGTTCACGTCTACTGCACTATGTTGTTTTTACTACCAGTGATAAACCATGGAAGAAGGGTTTTGATTGCATAACTGCAATCTTTACCCCAAAAAACCAACTGAATAAAGCTGACTAACCTTATCAATATTGACTTTAATATCTAACAATTGCGTAAATACCTGGTATCTTTGGATTAAATTGAATTTGTTAGTTGCAAGAAAACTTTGTTATAAGAGAGATAACTATTGAGAAATCAATGATTTATAATGTAATGTATGATTTATAGTGTAATGTATGATTTAAAGGGCAATGTATGATTTATAGTGTATTGTATGATTTATAGTGTATTTATAGTGTAATGTATGATTTATAGTGTAATGTATGATTTATAGTGTATTTATGGTGTAATGTATGATTTATAGTGTAATGTATGATTTATAATATAATGTAATTGTTGACATCATTCATTGTAATTGCTGAATTCTCTTCATTTCTATAATTTCATGTAGTTAAATGTTTTTTGTATTTTTATGATTGTTTTTCAGTAATGTTTTATTCTATATATTTGCATGAAGGATTTCAACAAATATTCCATGCACATTAAGAATCTTTCTTATTATATCAGCTTATTTTCCTAAATTCAATGTGTTCTTGTTCATACCAACAAAATCTTTCTCTCTTATAATAGAGGTGGAACATCTAAACTAGAGTAGAGGTGTGGCATTGTCGTACTTTACCAGTAATAATCATCGGGTTTGTTTTCCTACATGAACACAACTATGATAAATATAAGCAAAACCATCCTTCTCACCTATGATAAATATAAGCAAAACCATCCTTCTCACCTATGATAAATATCAACAAAACCATCCTTTTCACCAATGATAAATATCAACAAAACCATCCTTCTCACGTATGATTAATATCAACAAAACCATCCTTCTCACCCATGATAAATATCAACAAAACCATCCTTCTCACCTGTGATAAATATCAACAAAACCATCCTTCTCACCTATGATAAGTATCAACAAAACCATCCTTCTCAACTATGATAAATATAAGCAAAACTATCCATCTCATCTATGATAAATATCAACAAAACCATCCTTCTCACCTATGATAAATATAAGCAAAACTATCCTTCTCATCTATGATAAATATCAACAAAACCATCCTTCTCACCTATGATAAATATCAACAAAACCATCCTTCTCACCTATGATAAATATCAACAAAACCATCCTTCTCACCTATGATAAATATCAACAAAACCATCCTTCTCATCTATGATAAATATCAACAAAACCATCCTTCTCACCTATGATAAATATCAACAAAACCATCCTTCTCACCTATGATAAATATCAACAAAACCATCCTTCTCACCTATGATAAATATAAGCAAAACTATCCTTCTCATCTATGATAATTGTCAACAAAACCATCCTTCTCATCTATGATAAATATCAACAAAACTATCCTTCTCATCTATGATAAATATCAACAAAACCATCCTTCTCACCTATGATAATTGTCAACAAAACCTTCCTTCTCATCTATGATAAATATCAACAAAACCATCCTTCTCACCTGTGATAAATATAAGCAAAACTATCCTTCTCATCTATGATAAATATCAACAAAACTATCCTTCTCACCTATGATAAATATCAACAAAACTACCATGGAGAACTTTCTAACATATCCAGAAATGTTTTGGCCTTGTTTATATTGTTGGCATAAACTAAAAATAATAAATACAATGAACTTGTATCACTTTTATTGACTGACTCAATAATTATCTTCTCTCTAGATTAAAATCAAACTTTTAATTGAACATTTAAATTCTAATATTTCAACAAAGATTTTGGATATCATAAATATTTGGATAGAAGACTATATACAAATATCACAATAGGTCTTGATATAGCTATACAAATAGGTGTCTCTTTAAAATGCTAGCATTGATAGAGCTTTACAAATAGGGGTCTCTTTTGGATGCTAGCATTGATAGATCTTTACAAATAGGTGTATCTCTATGATGGTAACATTGATAGAGCTTTACAAATAGGTGTCTATCTATGATGCTAGCATTGATAGAGCTATACAAATAGGTGTCTCTCTATGATGCTAGCATTGTTTATGTGTTGAAATTTAGTTCTGAGATGTGAATATACAATGCTTTTACCACAGAAACAAGTACATTAGCATTAATAAAATTTCAAATATATGTAAATGTAAGTTTTTCAACTGATTTCGGAAAGCATTCAGATACATTACCATAGGCGGATCCAGGGGGCCCTGGGGTGCCCGGGCCCCCCCTTTCGTGGGAAAAATTTGGTTGATTATATAGAGAATCACTGAAGCATGACTAGAGCGGGCCCCCCCCTTAGGTCAGTCAGTGGGCCCCCCCCTTATGAAAAGTTCTGGATCGCCACTGATTACGTACTATACATTCATTTGTATTTGCAGGTGCCAATTTTTGTGGATTAAGAAAAAATGATATTTTCATGGGTACTTAATTTCATGGGTACTTGATTTGATGGTTTTGACCAATGCTGATTCCATTCTTGCCAGAGATGATGTTTAGAGATTGTAGTCTACTATCTTACTAGACAGCTCACTCACCAATTAAAATCTATGAATGGATGCTAATGTACATTGTAATTCTATGTTTTATGGAGGTAAAATTAGTATCAGATAACTAACACCTTCAAGACACCTGTCTGACGGCCATGATCAAGTTACAGGAAAGGTCACTATGCAAGCCTATCTATATATACAAAGATGTTGCGTGGGAGATCATGACAACTTAGCAACAAATACGAAAATAACTATACACAACAAATACATGATAATAAGTTGTCATGGAGACATGATAAATCCTGACCAATCAAATTTCATATATTAGGAATTCAAATTACACTTCACTCTGGGACACAATATAGTAATACATATTGTATAAGTCCCTGATTACTTTTATAAATAGAATTTCTTAAACAAGATTTTACAAAAATAAAAACATATTGATATCATAAAAATACAGTAGAATAGTATATAAAGTCTGCTTAATCTGATCTCATGATAGTAACTTCATAGTGTGATAGAAGTCTGATAATGCAACAAAAAAGGCAGAAAGAATCAAACATCTCTTATATTGCTTATTAAACCATCTCTGAGTATTCGCAACAGACAATACCCCATCATAACGTTGAATTCTTTTTAAAACAGCAATCTCAGAAAACCTTTATTAAAAGTATCCTAGTTTACCTGTTAATATATGGATATTTTTTTTAAATCTTATTTGGTGTTGGATGGATATGTGTCTTATATGCATACCACATCTCCTTATCTTTATACTGCTTTTATGTTGTATAATGTTTCACCTTGTACTAGGCATAGACAGAATCTTTTAAATGAATCACTTGTACTAGGCCTATTCAAAATCTTGGAAGAAAATTACCATGTAATAGGTCTAGCAAAAATCTTTAAAATACCTACACTTACCAATAGGTGCAGATCAAGCATATCATAAAATAAAATGTAAGCATTATAACTTACATGAATTAAACACCTTGTTGACTTGTAGTTTGTTACTTCTTAGACATAAGCACTTAAATTTCTCGTCTTTACTTTAGAGACGAAGGAGTATATATATATATATATATATGTATATATCTGTGTTCTTATTTGTCACAGAAGAGGTAGAAATCTGCAAAGGAAATGGGTTTCTGCTCTATTTTACGAGTATATAAAAGTCAAAATAAGCACAATTTTTAGCCTGGTACCACTGCTTTATACATAGTAAACTGGATTCAGAAAAAAGTAAAGTTAATCAGTCAGTATGATTCGCTTTTATTTACACGTAACCTTTAGTAGGCATTTATCTGTATTCATTCTTTCTTACTTTTCTGTTATTGTTTAAAAAAAAAACAAAAACTGAAGAATCAGAACAAACAATTATGCAACTATAAATAAAAGATCTTCAATTATATACCCTGCATCAAAATAAAATCAGATCTGGCTATGATATACAAAAACAAAAACAAGCAAGCTGATGCATTACCTGAGAAAAAATAAATTTTTGATTAAAATGAGGTATTAACGGGCTAATTAAAACTATAACATACAAGATTTTTAGATACTTTCTTAAAATCAATGGAAAAACATGAAAATGTAGTGAATTTGTTCAGATTAAAATATCAACAGTTCTGATGGAGAACATACTATACAGTTCGTCAATAAATAATCAGCTAAACTGTGAGCAAATGATGCTTGTTCCCCAACTGATTGTAAAATAAAGGGAACTAACTTGTATATCAGTAAATATTTCAAATGTAAATGGAAAAATGGTACATGTATTGTATGAAATCTCAAAACTGTCCATTTTTTTTATGGTTTCATAAATCTGAAAAGACAAAGGTGAAATAATCTAAAAACAAAAACTAACTTGTATCAACCCTAAAACTGTGTAAACATTTCAACAGATTCAGTGAAAGTAAACAATTTCATCAAATAATAAGTGGAGAAAAACACATTTTTCATTGACACCATTAATCAACTCGGAAACTGTAAAAAATGTATTGCGCTGATCGGTACTGTTATTTCAATACTTCGATGATTTGAAAATGTTTGGATATTCAATTAAAGCAAAACCAAGTTGTCTTAAGAAGTGGTTGTGTAAATATGAGTGAATGTTAAGATAAGAATGAGTGGACAAAGGATTACCATTATACAAGCATATAAAAGATACAATCTTTTAAATTTGTTTTTGATATGAAAATAAAGTTTAATTTTAAAATCCAAGCCTGACACTCCTTAAAAACCTGTATATTTCTAATGTTTGTGGTTAACTGTGTTATTTCAATTTGTTTGAACTACAGAATAAGCATGGCAATAATCAAGCTAAAGCAATGATACTAAAGATTGAATTTGAGTGTAAATGCTGTGTTTTACTTATCTGAAACATATAGACATGCTTATAACAAGGAGTGAAACATAAATGGTCCCCCTCCTGACAAAATAATTATCGAATATTCATAAAAACATATACATAATACAGGACTATATATCTCTTGAACTGTTAAAAATTTTAAACAATTCTCTTTTACAATTTACAATAATCAGGGTCACATTGACCTTAAAACTAACATCAATATGTACAAATATATACAATATAAATAAATTATACATCTTCTGTCATAATGTTTACATATAAAATGGATTTTGAGGTTATAATTAAACGAGTATTGTCAGCAGTTGTATAATGGCAGAAATCATATGTGCATTATTATTTATAATTCTTAGTGCTTTTACTAACAAGAATTATCGCTATTTTGTGTAATTTTTTTGTGTGATAAATTTGAATATCATGCTACTTGTTTGAGATAGAACTTATTGCTAGAAACTAAGGGTACATGTGCCGTTGTCAATGTAAACATCAACAACATCATAGGCAAAATAGAGATAAACAGATTTTCAATGGTCTTACAAACTGTAAGATGTTTCTTGGCAACATCTCATCTCAGGACTTTCACCCTTCGATGAGATAGTAGCCGAGAAACACCCTCTCATTTGAAAAACCATCAATAATTTATAAGTATATGACTAAACAAGATGAGATAATAAAAGACTTCCCATTAGGTTAGCCTTAAGGTTAAAAGTGAGGTCAACTTAGATAACTTAGTTTTGGAAAATATTGCCTTATGTTAGAAGTTCTGAAAAGGGAAATGTTTCTTTTAATAGCATGGGCATCAGTCTTAACATCATAGATATAAAAAAAAATTGAAATTTATAGTTTCCATTGAATAGAAGGACACTGGAAAAATGAGGCAATCTAAAGAATCAGATGTGGTGACTCTACCATTACTGTCCATCCCTATATTTTAAAGAAATGGAACTTGTCTTATTCAAAACTTCAAAACAATTTTTATTTATGAAAAGATCCATTACAAAATTATAAATCTAAATATCTCAATCCTATAACACAATATTTTCTATATAAGTCAATTAAAAATTGAATTAAGGATGGGCTTTTCTATGATAAGAAGGTTAAGTTTGTAAAAATTAGTCAATCAGTACAGTCATGTCAAATGTTTTCACTTGTAACTACTGTCTGCTATTTGTTGAATCACTGTGTTAACTACGCATACATTTAAATAAAAACACCAACTTCTTTGCTAAATATTAATAAAAGAAGATTTGAGTTTTATTACTCAATTAGTGGGCAACCAAAAAATACCATCTAGAACAATTTCCATATTCTTTGACATTAAAGATTTTGAAAAGTGTCCATCAAAAAGAAAAATATTTCAACATAGTATACAAAAGTATACATAACAAAACAACAAATTATTCAATACTTTCTTCACAGATGAAGTTGGTTTAGAACAATTTAATACACAAATTAAAAAACACTTTAATGGACTTTGCATTGGGTGCTCTGACTAAAAGTGGGTTAAAACAAAGAGTATACTAGCACCAAATTTCAGCATTTAGATTCATATGATTTAAACTTTCTACCCAGAACAGCTTCATGTTATAAAATAAGTTATGATTTATTATCCATAATTGACATAAAAAATGCCACTCAATTTTTTCCTGATTTTGTTTATTGTTCACTAACAGCAGCATGATAGTTAAACAAATGATCCACGCTTCTTAAATAAGATATTGTATCTTAGACAATTCATATGCCAGTAATGTTATGTGGTGAGTTTTCAATTATAACTTCTATAAGGGGGAGGGGGATAAAATATTTTATTTTTCAAACTAGGAAAATTTCATGTTTCCTGTAAGTTAATTTATTTCAATATATATCCCAGGACACCAGTCAGGAGTGTCTCTTACCTAAGAGTGATTGAAGATCTGAATGTTCCGGAACTTTATAGTAGAATAAATGTTCCCAAGAAACTGCTCCAGGCAGAAAAAACACAAATTTGGAATCAATTGTATATATAATATGAGCAAGATTTGTCTCCCATTTAACAGTTATAAACAGAAAATTAGTCAATTAAATGCAAAATATGGCAAAAATATGAAAAATGAACAACTGAGACTAGCTCTTAGTTTTTTGTCACATCTAGAAACCTTTCTTCTTTCTCAACAAATCATAACAAACATAAGAAACGTCTCTTCTAATAAAACAACAGATTTATAGTTCCCATAAAAGATGTGCAGTCAATCACAACAGACAACATCTATTGACCATCTGAACAGACTTTTACATCTCTAACACATATCTGTACTGGAATCTCATAAAAATATATACATTACTTGAACCAACATACATACAATAAATTTATGTAATGAATGTTTCTGCACAAAAACTAGTTTCTTGAAATGGATATGTTGTCCGTTACACCACAACTCATGGTGGTGCTCCTAAGAAAGGAGGCTTATACAGAGAATACAAACATATATGCTTATGACCCGTGAAAATATTATTTCCTACATGTTATAAAATTTCCTTTAATCTGGAAATTCTTCCTTAATGTTTCATCTTATGCTCTATTCTATTTGTCGTCTGCTTGCGTAATTGACAGACATGGCAGAAATAACGATACAAATTCAGATTCAGCAGAGATCAAGCTGAGTCAACACTTCTATTAAATATGTGTATACATCTAATTGGTAAAGTTTTTATCTCAAATTAGTCCTAATTTCCTTTGGTATATTTTTGAGTATTTTGTCATTTCTCATCCTTTTTTTGTCGTGTTGGAGTACTTGGAGCACTGGGAGAACTGTTGGCAGAATGGGGAGATTCTGTCTCTTCTTTTATTGGTTCCATTTCACTCTCCTGGAGAAAAAAATCAAAAATATTAAAAATGTGTGGTTCATTTAATAACTTTAGATGAAATGTGGGTGATTTTAAAATGCAATAATCAATGGAATAAAATCAGAAAGCACTTTAAGGAATAACACAACAGAATGATGCAAAAGTTTTCCTATCCTAAGTTCAATTTTGAAGGGGAAATTATTTTGCAGCATTTTGACCTCAGATTCCATACAAAATATCCAACAGCTAAACCAAAAGTTGTAGTTCAGATTGTTCAGAGCTGTTTTCCTAACTTTTTCAATGTCCAACTGTGTGTATTTTTATTATTCATATTTCGTTCTCATGAACATGTTGCTCTATGTAAAGCACAAGATTTGTTTTATTCATTCCAAAATTCACTTGGCACATAACATTCATCAGGTTTTACAGAGATGTTCAAAGAAAATACTTTTAAATTTTCGAATTCAATAAAATATCTAAAATCTCAATTATATCTAAAGGTATGAACATAAGCAGCTATAGAGCATCTGAATTATATTCAAAGACATGCAGATGACTAAAGAGACATAAAATTGATAGTGTAGCCAAAAACATTTTCTACTGTCCTGTTTACAGTAAAACTAAAATTAATTATTTTTTTATTGTAGTTGTTGGATTACTGCCTCTATTCGTTTGTATTTCATAAAACTAAAAATACATATACAAATTTTTAACATACCTGTTTTTCTGACTTTATTTCAGATGCAGACTTTTGTAGTTCTTCTTCTTTTATCCTAGCTACCCAGAATTCATGATTCTCTTTCATATTCTTTGTCAATAAACAATTTACTTTTCTTGGTTTTCTTTTAATTTTTGGGTGGTTTATGGCTTCTGAAAAATGACAAACATCTATTATTTGCCAATGTAATGTTGATAGCAATTATTACTTTAAATAGCTAGTACTATGTTTTCAACTCATTCCTTGGTGCTGCCTATCCACATGTCTTGTCAACATCAAAATATTTAGTAAAATTTAGTAGAGATGTCAATTACTGCTAGGGGAAAATAACCGAAGATAATAACCTGCTAACGTAAATCTGATATGCATCAGGTTGGGTAACAGGTAATAGACAAGAGCTTTGCTAAGGAAGGCAATTTGTGCAAGGAGAAAAGGTAATGATTAAAACGTTACATATAAGGATATTTTTGGTACAAAATTTTGAAGAAAATCATTTAGGTAATATTGAAATGAACAGTCATCATTAGTCTACATAGGTACCTACTAAAATGGTAGTTTGCAAATACTGCATAACAACCTTTATGAACAATTAGACTGTATATCAAAACAATAAAACAAATAATGTAAGTTTTTGTGGGAATATTTACCTGTTTTTGTGAGAATTTTGCCTTTACTTGTGTGAATATTTACCTGTTTTAGTGAGAATTTTGCCTTTACTTGTGTGAATATTTACCTGTTTTTGTGAGAATTTTGCCTTTACTTGTGTGAATATTTACCTGTGTCTGTGAGAATATTTGCCTGTTTTTGTGAGAATATTTGCCTTTACTTGTGTATTTACCTGTTTTTGTGGGAATATTTACCTGTTTTTGTGGGAATATTTATCTGTTTCTGTGGGAATATTTACCTGTTTTTGTGGGAATATTTACGTTTTTGTGGGTATATTTACCTGTTTTTGTTGGAATATTTACCTGTTTTTGTGGGAATATTCACCTGTTTCGGGGGAATATTTACATTTTTGTGGGAATATTTACCTGTTTTGGAAGGGATATTTACCTGTTTTGGGGGGAATATTAACCTGTTTTTGTGGGAATATTTACGTGTTTTTGTGGAATATTTACGTGTTTTTGTGGAATATTTACCTGTTTTTGTGGAATATTTACGTGTTTTTGTGGAATATTTACCTGTTTTTGTGGAATATTTACCTGTTTTTTGGGGAAAATTCACCTGCTTTTGGGGGAATATTTACCAGTTTTTTGGGGAATATTTACCTGTTTCATGATCTGTCTCATTCTCATCTTCTGTATCTTTACATGTAATGTCACATATCTCTGTATCTGAGTGTCCCGAAACTAAAATAAACAAAACCAAGAGATGTTTCTTCTTCTTTACATATAAATAACAATTAATAATGATAATAATCAAAGTGCTTGAGAGCACTAAAGGTAAAGATTGCATTCATTTTGAATTGGGAATATACAATCAAACATGGCATTGTATTAAGCCTTAAGAATTGGTTCAACTAAAATTATGAACAAAGGAAGATTACTCCAAATTTAAGTATTACTTTAACAATGACATCACTAATATACAATTTATGTAATTTTCATAACAAGTATGGTTATACATGTACCCATTATTTTGTAACTTGAATATATGAATATAGTAATCTTTGTAAATTTCCTGAAATGTTCAATAATGAGATGTATAGAATCTTGTACTCAATGTACTATATTTTGTTAATCTAAAAAAAAGTGATAAAAGTTGGGAAATACCTATCAAGCAAACCACATAAAGGTTTCATGCAATCTTTACCCCCAAAACTAGCAATTCAATTAGCTGTCAAATTGTTGCATGAATCAAGTAATTCTTACACTCATAAATCTGATTTGTATATTTCAAATTCAGTAGACCACAATATAAGTATTACACCTCACTATCTGACATAAATACAATAGCATTACAAGTAGGATAGTGATTACCCTAGTATATGACTCTTCAATAAAATATCTTTTCAGAAAAAATCAAGTGTTTAAACTAAATGTGTCAGGATGAGGAGAATGCCTTCACCTGCAGAAGGACAGATATGAAAAGTATGAAACAAATTGGATACTCAATTGGTAAATCTCCACCATAAAATATTTACAGAAGTCTGCCTTTTATATTATGATTTCTACTGCCTAAAACATATAACCAACTTGCCTATAATTGCTCACCTCCACTTCATTTGAACTTAGGTGGATAATTGTCTCATTGGCAATCATACTACATCTCCTTATTTTTATATAATGTGTATTTTCCGGATTGAGGGATTCAAATGAAGATTTTGTCAGTTTTTAGCAAAAAGAAAGTAATTTAGCACATTCTTAATCAAAAAGCACTTCTGATTTATCATTTTTATGCAAACTGTCACATGTCTCTATCATATAGTTAACAAACTGTCACGTCTCTAGCATATAGTTCAGTGTTCCAGCTTGAATCTCAGGGCAGAAGGGTGCTAGTTGTCTGAAAGGGCACTTTAGCGTTATAACCCAGAATTCAAGGGCACTGTTGGACAGTGTATAAATTACCTTGAATATTGATAGGCTCAGCTTGAGAACATTAGTTGTATTTAAACCATATTCAGAAATTAATATGTTCTTCATGTTGGTTCCATTAAGAATTTTTTTTTTATCAAATTATCATACCATGAAACAAAGCATATCATTTTGATGTTAATCTAAACAAACTTGTACATTTGGTAAGGAAAATAATCATCAGAAATTTCAATGTTTTATAACTTATACCAGTCTATAAAAATAAACAAGTAGTTTTGAAAGATGGAGTTATACATGCAAAATTGAATGCTTAATGTAATTAAATTATCAACATTTAAATTGCTTGTTCAAACATATAGTATATATGTAATTTAGAGTTATTTATTATCATTTGAATTGTTACAAAAAAGTATTTTCAAGTGCACACCAAAGTGCTCCTCAGTAAGGAGTTTTATAAATATAACAGGTTAGACAGGAGATGATCATATTATATTGATGCAATAATATATTGCAGAAGGTATAAACAGTTACTTTTTTCTCCATCATTGTTAAAAATAAATTTGTTGAGTGCTCCTATGTCAGGAGGATTATAAAATACAAGAGGTAAAACAGGAAGTGAATCTTGTTATGTTCAAAGTACAAATTTCTTTGATTCTTCTTTAAATTTCATACTCATGGATTATGAAACAAAACATTTTTTACCAATTAAGTCAAAACTATGTATGCCTATAAAATTGTTTAAGATTTTATTTTTTATGTTATGCCTACTGAAATAAATTTGTTCAGGTATACATGCTGTACATAAACATTACAAATGGATAACATGTGGACATTTCATTCTGTATTAAATATCTAGTATTTGTTCAATTATCTTAAATCCATTAATTAGCAGTAAACAATCATTAACAAAGGTGGTAAAACTGCCAAAGCATTAGGTATTTAACTTAATCCCATTGTCAGTTAATTAGTGTTACACAATCAGGTAACAATTTTACCGGAAACGACGGTAGGCATGAAATTTGGAAATTTTATTTTTTTGAAAAGGCAGAGGGGTGCATTCTTTTACTTTGGAGGGCAAAAGGGCGGGGGTAAGGGCACCAAGGGCGGGCCACCCTTCTATTTAGGGCAGACGGGAACACTGTAGTTACCAAACTGTCACATGTCTCTATCATATAGTTAACAAACTGTCACATGTCTCTAGCAAATAGTTACCAAACTGTCACATGTCTTAACATATAGTTAACAAACTGTCACATGTCTTAACATATAGTTAACAAACTGTCACGTCTTTAGCATATAGTTACCAAATTGTCACATGTCTCTAGCATATAGTTACCAAACTGTCACATGTCTCTAGGATATAGTTAACAAACTGTCACATGTCTACAGAATATAGTTAACAAACTGTCACATGTCTCTAGCATATAGTTACCAAACTGTCACATGTCTCTAGGATATAGTTAACAAACTGTCACATGTCTCCAGAATATAGTTAACAAACTCACATGTCTCTAGCATATAGTTACCAAACTGTCACATGTCTTTAGCATATAGTTACCAAACTGTCACATGTCTCTAGCATATAGTTACCAAACTCACATGTCTCTATCATATAGCTACCAAACTGTCACATGTCTATAGCATATAGTTACCAAACTGTCACATGTCTTAGCATATAGTTAAAAAAACTGTCACATGTCTAAGCATATAGTTAACAAACTGTCACATGTCTCTATCATATAGTTACCAAACTGTCACATGTCTCTAGCATATAGTTACCAAACTGTCACATGTCTCTAGGATATAGTTAACAAACTGTCACATGTCTACAGCATATAGTTAACAAACTGTCACATGTCTCTAGCATATAGTTACCAAACTGTCACATGTCTTTAGCATATAGTTACCAAACTGTCATATGTCTCTAGCATATAGTTACCAAACTGTCATATGTCTCTAGCATATAGTTACCAAACTGTCACATGTCTCTAGCTCTCTAGCATATAGTTACCAAACTTACCATCCCCATCACTGTCTGGTTCATCCACCCATGTCCCTGGCAACAGACCAGCTGTTACTAAGGCATTACACAATGGCGCCACCAAATGATTTATGAAAGTTTCCTGTAACTTAGCTAGCTGAGGAATCTTTCTATCCATATATGGAGAAATTGGCATCCCCAACCTGGCTTCTTCATCTCCCTGTAATATAATAAACAGTTTTGTATATGACAAAGCCCAAATTAGTGAAATACTGAAAACTAGGGGTGGATGAATTTTTTTTAAATTTTAATAATAAATTGAATAGAAGTAAGTTTTTGCATTAAATTTGGATAATTATACTGTATTTTAAATATTTGTCGGTCTTTACCAACCCTGCAATACCTCCTTGGGTAGTAAAGGTCATTAAACACCACTCTAGTAGTAGTCTTGTCTTTCCAAACAATCCTTACATGTTCATGAAAACTAAATCTGCTACATTCAAATACAATATAGTTACTCTTGTATTGTCATACACCAAAAGACATTACATAAGGTTTACATCCCACTAATGACAATATAATGAGAACAAATGAATTCTAAAGCTAGTTATTGATATCTACAGCTTTCCCCTAAGTATTATACATCGGAAAGACAATTTTCCCCCACAAAATGTCAAAGTCATATCATGGAAACCAGATATATAGTTCTTTTTTATATGTTGCAATGAAGCTATCTAAAAGGGGACGATATAATTTTTTTTCTGATGAGTTGTGTAATTAATGGTTACTATTCCTCGCCATTAAAACACTTCCTTAAAGGTCTGAAGAACTAATTTCAGCCTGTCAGTGAAATGAATCAACAGACTTCTCAGCATAGTGGTTTGGTTTTAATTTATAATGTTATTTACGACTTGATTCATTTTCCACAGTTATTATGTTGTTACTCAGGAAGTAATTATACTATTTCATATTCAATCAAGATTATAGCTTTTCATTTTGTGTCTATTTATTTTCTCAAACTGTAAAGCACTTTGTATGACACATTTTAAACTCTCATTTCATTACTAACTTTACAGACAAAGCAAAATATTTGCTGTATAGATTATCAAACAAATAAAAACTAAATTATTCCATTTTTCCTCTCTCTCAAAAAGTAAACATTAAATCTGAGGTAACAAGAGAAGGACTGTCACTAAAGAAATGTCATGTAATTGATTTGATTTGATTTTTGGTGTTTTAAGCACCGCTTCTGGGCTATTTCGCGGTGGCCAGTTTTTATTGGTGGAGGAAGCCGGAGTGCTGGAGAAAACCACCGACCTTCGATAGGAAAACTGACAATCCTAGTCAATAAAGATTGGAGTAAAGTGCACCCGCACGAGCAGGGTTCGAACTCACAACCTGAGTGTTGACTGGCTAGTGATTACAGTAGTAACTACTTAGACCACTCGGCCACCGAGGCCCCTTGAAATGTCATGTAAAGGAGGTCATGGTTCACTGAGCATGTATTACAATTCAAAACTTGAAAAATCAAGAAAACGTTCCAGTCCATAGGACACCATGCCCTGCTTGCTCTATCAAATTTAATTTTCAGTAAACTGTGAAAACATGTAAAAATAATGATGTGCATAATGATGTGTACTAAGTTTCAAGAGTTTCAAGATGATGTGACCATGAACTGATAGTAAACTACCTTAAGCAAACACTTTAATTACATGATGGGTGTCACAAGTGGAGCAGGATCTGCTTACCCTTCCAGAGCACCTGATATCACTCCAGTTTTTGGTGGGGTTCATGTTCCTCAGTGTTTTCTATGTTGTGTTTTACACTTGTTTGTCTATTTGTTGTCTTTGGTTTTAAGTCATGGTATATTCAGTTTATCTTGAATTATAAGTTTTGAATATCCCCATGGTAACTTCCACATCTTTTTTAATCTAAGAATGAGCTCATTTCACACTTACAGATTCTGTGTTCAGTGAACCATGAAATAGAGGGTCGAAACCATAATTTGGCATATAATTTTAAATCTTCTCATTAGAATGAATATGTGTACTTAGTTTCAAGTTAATGTGTCCAAAACTTTAAACTTCCTTAACCAAAAACTTTAACATGAGAATGTACTCATTTAACACTATCACATTTCCATGTTCAGTGAACCATGAAGTTAAAACAGTAATTTGGTAAACAATTTTAAAAGTTCACATCATAATGAACATGTTTACTGAATTTCAAGTTGATGTGACCACAACTTCATGGTAAACTACTGTAACCAAAATCTGAAACCTGATACAGGACAGACTAACAGACAAAATTATGAAAGGACACACAATCCTGAAAACATAATCCCTTCTACTATTGTAGGTGGGACATTAAAAGATTATTCAAATTAAGGTTTATACTGATTACAGACCTGTTCATAGAATTCCTCTGATATTCTGGTTGTCCAATCATGGTGAAGTTTCCAAGTTTTAGCAGGACCATTTATATCTGCTATTTTAATCACCATTTGCATGGCCAGCAGACGATCGGTTTCCACTGTCCAATTAATGCCTGGTGCCTCATCATCATTGGCCTGTAAGATATGTCAGAAACTCTTACCATGGACACATATTAGTTCAAATTTTTATAACAGCAAAATTACCACTGCTGGTAGATGTTTTGTTCCAAGGGTTTCACAAGCCAAGAGGTCAATACTCGGATGCTGACATAAAGTACCATTGATATCCTCATTTTTAGCAAAGTTACTGTTCATAAATTGTCAAAAATTGTTAAAAACATTTAGGCTTTTCAACCCAGACAGATGGCCATAGCCAAATTTGGCAAAACTTTTGGAATTTTTGTTTAAATGGTTTTGTTTTGGCCTTCCAATTGTACTGATTTGTGTGCCACGGAAGAGTCTTATAGACTAAATTGCGTCTGGAGTACTGAGTCTTATAGACTAAACATGCCTCTGGAGTAATGAGTCTTATAGACTAAACATGTCTCTGGAGTACTAAATCATATGACTGGTATATTTGATTACTTTTTGTACAAGCAATTGAACAAAAATACATTTAACTAAAAACATAAGATATTTATCATAGCAGAAGAAGATTCTACATTTTTACTTTGACCAGTTTGGCGTGAATCTAGGTCACAAATATGACCTACATACAACTTTTGGACTACCCTGCCCCTGGATCTTTATTTCATTTTTGGTTTTAATGAAATGCATACATTAGTTTTTACTTTCTAACATTGGTTGTTTAAAAAGCTCAAGATCAAACACAATTAGTTGTCTTCCAGTATTAAATAATTAATGAGTTTGAGTGAAATATGTTCTTGTTTCTTTTGAAACAGAAATCTGAATTTTCTTTCATCCAGATATTACGAAATAGATGAAAAAGGCCATTACAAATGTATGACAGCTATCTCCTGCTCTTTGAAATTGACAGTTATTTCAGTATACAATACTATAGACCAAGATTATAAAATCTTTCCTCTCTCATCATCCTAATTGTTTTCAATAGATAGGTAAAAGAAATAGTTTTCCACATAGCTAGTTAGTTAAAGGTGAAACAAAACTTATAATTTGGACCATCCAAGTCTTTTTTGACTCACAGGGGCTGATCCAGTATTTTTTGAAAGAAGGGCATAAATGCAGATATGTGGATATATATTCCGCCGAGTGAAACAAAATTTTGGACGATATTAGGCTTAAATAAATATATTTTTTTACATCAAAGGGGGTGGGGGGTAGCCCTCCCCTGAATCCACCACTGACTCATCAATATATCAAATTCAATAATTTATTCAAAGGAAAGAGTGATATATAAATCTATTCTCAACATGTTAAATACTTACACACTAGCATATACACATTTCTTACACTATATGTAATTACCTTTGCATTAAATTCTGCTAAAATCTCAAAATGTCGTTTTAAATCTGTGGCCAGGATTAGTTCTATTACAAGGAATCGGAATCTTTTAAATTCTGCAGGTTCTAATGCGGACAGGAAGAGAAATTTAGGATCACTTAATAGAAGCCTCCATGCTGCAGCGGCATGATGATTTTCTAATACTGACCGATCGTTGTACATGACAGCCTAAAAAGAAAAAAAATTATTATAAAAGTAAATAAAATGCTCCGCAGGGCGCAGCTTGATACGACCGCAGAGGTCGAACCCTGAACAGTTGGGGCAAGTATGGACACAACATTCAAGCTTGATACAGCTCTGAATTTGGATTGTGATTAAATATTTGACACAGCATAGGTTTCTGACACAGAATGAATGTGGTCTAAGAACTTAAAAATTTTAAATTGGACATTCACCTATTATGGTCCAATATCCAAAATCTAAATACATGGTTAGATTCAGCATATCAAAGAACCCCAAGAATTCAATTTTTGATGAAATCAAACAAAGTTTAATTTTGGACCCTTTTGACCTCAATGTGGACAAAGTTGATAACGGGGCCCAAAAATCAAAAATCTAAATACATGGTCAGATTCAGCATATCATAGAACCCCATATATTCAATTTTTGTTGAAATCAAACAAATTTAATTTTGGACCCTGATTTGGACCAACTTGAAAACTGGGCCCATAATCAAAAATCTAAATACATGTTTAGATTCAGCATATCAAAGAACCCTAAAAATTCAATTTTTGTTAAAATCAAACTAAGTTTAATTTTGGACCCTTTGGACCTTAATGTAGACCAATTTGAAAATGGAACCAAAAATAAAGAATCTTAATACAAGGTTAGATTCGGCATATCAAAGAACCCCAATAATTCAATTTTTGATGAAATCAAACAAAGTTAAATTTTGGACCCTTTGGACCTCAATGTGGAACAATTTAAAAACGGGGCCCAAAATCCAAAAACTTAATACACGGTTAGATTCAGCATATTAAAGAACCCCAAGAATTCAAGAATAAAACCCCATTGAAATTGATCAAGAAATAAGCAATTTATACGAAGTATCTTCTTTTTCACAATACTGTGCAATTGAATATTTCTTGCTATTGCGCAATACTGTACAATTGACAATTTCTTGCTATTGCGCAATATTGTGCTATTGGATATTTCTTGCTATTGCGCAATACTGTGCAATTGAAGATTTCTTGCTATTGTGCAATACTGTGCAATTGAAGATTTCTTGCTATTGTGCAATACTGTGCAATTGAAAATTTCTTGCTATTGCACAATACTTATTATTTAATAATTTACACATCCTGTTTGGTGTGTATCTCCTACCATATCATTATTATTTGCTTTTAAATATAAATCAGAAATAACCAACTTAAAATGGAAAATTTTAAAAGAAAAAAAAAAGGAAAAAAAGAAAAAAAAAAGAAAAAAAAATATCCCCCCCCCCCCAAATTTTTTGAACCCCCTTATGATTCATCACCCCCAAACTCAATCCCAGCCCTCCCTTTGTGGTATGGTACCTTGCAGTACAATTTCAGAGAGATCCATACACTTGAACACAAGTTATTGTCTGGAAACTAGAAAAATGCTTATTTTTGGCCCCTTTTTGGCCCCCAATTCCTAAACGTTTCAGGCCATTACCCCCAAACTCAATTCCAGCTTTCCCTTTGTGGTATGGAACCTTGTAGTACAATTTCAGAAATATCTAAACACTTACACACAAGTTATTGTCATGAAACTAGAAAAATGCTTGTTTTTTGCCCCTTTTTTGGCCCTTAATTCCTAAAATTTGAGGCAATTACCCCCAAAATCAATTACAGCCTTCCCTTTGTGATATGGAACCTTGTGGTACAATGTCAGAGAGATCCATACACTTACACACAAGTTATTGTCTGGAAGTTACAAAAATGCTTATTTATGGCCCCTTTTGGCCCCTAATTCCTTAACTGTTGGTACCATAACCCCCAAAATCAATCCCAACCTTCCTTTCGTGGTATTGAACCTTATGGTAAAATTTCATGGAGATCCATTCACTTAAACTAAAGTTAGAGTGCAAAAACCAATGTGTCTTCGGACGACGCCAGACGACGACGACGACGCCAACGTCATACCAATATACGACCAAAAATTTTTTAATTTTTGCGGTCGTATAAAAATTATATCTTGATATTTCAAACTTGTATTATTTTATTGAATATGCCTTATGATAAAACAAACCCCAGGAATCTGTTTCTAAATCATGGAGGGATACAAGCAGAACTTTTTGAAAGAATAATTCCCTCATATTTCTATGCAGAATGTGCAGAGTAAAAAATAGAAATATAATTCAGATAGTGACTTGCCTCTCAAGAAATAAAGGCACAACAATTCTTTTTTACTATTTAAAAAATCATTTCTTTTAAATTCTAGAAGGAGGGGGGGGGGGGGGGGGGTTTATATATATATATGGAGACTGCGACATTCCTAAACTTAGAAAACACATAAATCAGAGGGCTAGTATTAGCTCAATAAAAGAAGGTAAGAAATTTTCATCAGTTACTTGAAGTATGATAGAATATGTTATCACTCTTCTTTTCTCTGCAACTTTTTTGTGCGCCAGTCCGAAGCCAGGATACTTCTTTATTTGTGTCTTTCCATTTAATTTTGACCAACATTTAAAAAAAAATTCAATATGGGCCCTCTTAAGCTCTGTAGTATGGGTGATCACTACCACAGTGACTGACATTATTCTTTAAATAACTTTGTAGAGTGCTTCGAAATTTAAGCTTGTGTAACACGAAACTCAAACAAATTTGTTTGGGGTCTAAATCAGACAGAGTCCCGATAAAGGTCCGACAAGGTCATTCTCCAACATTGAAGACAGACAAAAAATTTTTGTTGATCTTTTTAGTTTTTTTCTTTATCTACTATAGTTTTTGCCCAAAACACAAAAATGGGTTAAAATCATCTTTCAAGGACAGTAATGCTTATCAGAAGTCATTTTTACTGTCTGCAGTTTCTCTCGATCTTCTATGGTAATTGCCCAAAACACAATAAAATGTTAAAATCAAAATTCACCATTTAAGGGCAATAACCTCTATAAGGAGCAAAACAAATCTCATCACAAACCCGAGGTGAACTTATTTGTGCTGGAAGAGTCAGCAGTACCAGCTTCACTAGTGACATACTGCAACACAATGATACACACTGCTAGATACAACATCATTGATACCAACCACAGACAACACAAATTTTTACAACACAATGATACACACTGCTAGCTAGAACATCATTGATACCAACCACAGACAACACAAACTTGTACAAAACAATGATACACACTGCTAGCTAGAACATCATTGATACCAACCACAGACAACACAAACTTGTACAAAACAATGATACACACTGCTAGCTAGAACATCATTGATACCAACCACAGACTACACAAACTTGTACAAAACAATGATACACACTGCTAGCTAGAACATCATTGGTACCAACCACAGACAACACAAACTTGTACAAAACAATGATACACACTGCTAGCTAGAACATCATTGATACCAACCACAGACAACACAAACTTGTACATTGTATTTACTAAGAAGGTTATCTTCCAATTGAATGATTGTTGGTTGCCTAACATCAAGTGACAAATATTTCATGCATGTTCAGGACGAAACTGTTAATGATATAGCTATACTGTTTTAAAGTGTACTGTTTAAAATGTGGTAAACAGTTGTAAAAATACATACATCCTGCTGCAGAAAATATTAGCAGTTTTTATTTACACTGGTAAAATAGACAAAAACTAGAACCACTAAAGGGTATCATATCAAAAAAGTTTATCAAGTTCTTTTTTGCCATAAAATATAATGTTGTTAATTAACGATAAACAGGTTAATATCATGCAATATTCTTTACTTAAGGCATCTGGAATATGACGAACATTTCTATTTTTAGTCAAATCGGCATCAGTTTAGTTCATTAAGGTAGTTCAGACCCGTTATGCCTGTAAATATTTCCTGTTTTTTTGCTTTTCTTTTCCTACATATCAGTTCCTAATTATTAGAAATCAATGTTTTTCTACTAAAATTGGTCAAGGCATCTATCTAAATCTTTCTGACATCAGATCACCTGCAGTGATTTTGATTACAATATGGGAATACTTAATATGTTTATCAATAACTGCTGAAAAAAGGACTTTGTTGTTTACAAATCATATAAATTTCTAAAAATAAGCAGAATTTAAATACTTCTGTACAGTCCAAAGTGGGAGAGTATCGATTCAACATCACAAAGAAAAGCTAAAATATCAAAAAGACTAAGACAAGACCATAAAATATGAACATCAGCACACAATTAATTTAGCATGTTATCTGAAGACAACAACGTCATGAGATGTAAACCTTGGTATATATAAAATGTTGAGAGTTAACAGGTGCTATGAAAGGACATTCATATTCAACTCTACACCAGTCCTAACTGTGGCAACAAGAACTAAATTAACAATATACTATATGTATGAATAAAAGACTGATTGATAGATTAATTGGTGTTTAACAGCACTTTCAGAACTATGGCGATTTCATGGCACTCAATTTTTATTGGAGGAGAGTGCCCAGAGAGAACCACCGACCTTAAGCAGGAAACTGACAATCCTAGACAATAAAGATTTGAATCTACTGTGCACCTAACATGTGCAAGGTTTGAACTCACAACCTCAGAGTTGACAGGCTAGTAAAACAGTAGTTCAACTACTTAGACCACTTGGCAACCAAGGCCCTGTATAAATAAAAGGAGGTGTGGTAAACATCAATGAGACATCAACCTAACAACAAACATAAATATGTGTTTACAAGTGGGATGTGAGAATGGAATATATTTTGGACTTACATTTCGAGTTATCTTTCAGATGCTTTACTCTATAATGGTCAACGGAACCATTCAAAGAACTATTGTTTTAGAGTTTAAAAAAATGCTTGAAATTTCTATGCATAATCTTGTGTATCCAAAAACTAAAAGATATGAATACCCAATGTTACCTTTTTAACAATTCAATTTAATATTTGTTTGCCATTAAATGCTAGACTTAAGGTTTAGGACAAGGTGTGAGATTTTTAGCCACACAATGAAGGAGTACTTGACATCGTTTAATCTTTTAACATCAGCTAAAATACCTTATTTATCAAACTTACCAAAAAAAAAATCTACTTGATAGATAAAGTACAAGATAAAAAAAATACGGCAAATATGACTGTGTTAAGAATATATTATTTTCTATATTTATTCTTCCCATATAAAATAAAGACTTTCTATGCATTATATCTAATAACTAGCTTCCCTGTGTGGCACAATTCATATTATTGTTGACAATCAGCTGGGTCCACGATAATGTTTCTTCACATAATTATATAATTATCAATAAACCAACATTTCAAAATTGACATCAATATCTATTACATTATTTAAGGGAGTTTGCCTTTACGATAAATTTACGATTATTTGGCAAAATTTGAATCCGCAAACCTTATATTAAAACAACTTACAAAAGAAAAAATATAGAAGGACATTATAGGACTTAAGTTTTTTAGGTAAATTGGAATGTTAATTACCTAGGTTCTTAAACACTCAATTATCAAAGTTTAAGTGAGGGCACATTTAATGTTTATATTAAATATATCATCTAAAACTATACCTGGCTCTAGTTTAAGTTTGGCAACAATGAATAGTGTTGAGTACTCTAATTGTTGAATCTTACATAAATCCTGACAGGGTCATGCAAACTTCTCTATTTATTGTTATTCAGAGTCTTGAGAACAATGAATAAAATTAAGAACTTTTAAATTTGACACATAATAGATTGAATATAACTGACTGATAAACTTTATTTTTGAAATATGCATTTGTTTATATTAACTGAGTTATACATTCTATAGTACCCATTACAAACGAGCTGATTTTCTAGAGCAGTTCTAACTCTGTCATTACAAATGAGCTGATTTTCTAGAGCAGTTCTAACTTTGTCATTACAAATGAGCTGATTTTCTAGAGCAGTTCTTACTCTGTCATTACAAATGAGCTGATTTTCTAGAGCAGTTCTTACTCTGTCATAGATCTCACTATATTGACCATGGTCCACCATAACTTATCAATGCTATAATTTTTAGGAAGGAGACCCCAAACACACATATTTTTTTTGGCCTTACTGTTTGTTGTGTTCTTACTTTTGTGGTGTACTTATAGGGTAAAAACTTCTACGTTGTGTTCCTACTTTTGTGGTGTACTTATAGGGTAAAAACTTCTACGTTGTGTTCCTACTTTTGTGGTGTACTTATAGGGTAAAAACTTCTACGTTGTGTTCCTACTTTTGTGGTGTACTTATAGAGTAAAAACTTCTATGTTGTGTTCTTACTTTTGTGGTGTACTTATAGGGTAAAAACTTCTACGTTGTGTGCCTACTTTTGTGGTGTACTTATAGGGTAAAAACTTCTACGTTGTGTTCTTACTTTTGTGGTGTACTTATAGGGTAAAAACTTCTACGTTGTGTTCCTACTTTTGTGGTGTACTTATAGGGTAAAAACTTCTATGTTGTGTTCCTACTTTTGTGGTGTACTTATAGGGTAAAAACTTCTATGTTGTGTTCCTACTTTTGTGGTGTACTTATAGGGTAAAAACTTCTATGTTGTGTTCCTACTTTTGTGGTGTACTTATAGGGTAAAAACTTCTATGTTGTGTTCCTACTTTTGTGGTGTACTTATAGGGTAAAAACTTCTATGTTGTGTTCTTACTTTTGTGGTGTACTTATAGGGTAAAAACTTCTATGTTGTGTTCTTACTTTTGTGGTGTACTTATAGGGTAAAAACTTCTACGTTGTGTTCCTACTTTTGTGGTGTACTTATAGAGTAAAAACTTCTACGTTGTGTTCTTACTTTTGTGGTGTACTTATAGAGTAAAAACTTCTACGTTGTGTTCCTACTTTTGTGGTGTACTTATAGAGTAAAAACTTCTATGTTGTGTTCCTACTTTTGTGGTGTACTTATAGAGTAAAAACTTCTATGTTGTGTTCTTACTTTTGTGGTGTACTTATAGGGTAAAAACTTCTACGTTGTGTTCCTACTTTTGTGGTGTACTTACAGGGTAAAAACTTCTATGTTGTGTTCCTACTTTTGTGGTGTACTTATAGGGTAAAAACTTCTACGTTGTGTGCCTACTTTTGTGGTGTACTTATAGGGTAAAAACTTCTATGTTGTGTTCCTACTTTTGTGGTGTACTTATAGGGTAAAAACTTCTATGTTGTGTTCCTACTTTTGTGGTGTACTTATAGGGTAAAAACTTCTACGTTGTGTTCCTACTTTTGTGGTGTACTTATAGGGTAAAAACTTCTATGTTGTGTTCTTACTTTTGTGGTGTACTTATAGGGTAAAAACTTCTATGTTGTGTTCTTACTTTTGTGGTGTACTTATAGGGTAAAAACTTCTATGTTGTGTTCCTACTTTTGTGGTGTACTTATAGAGTAAAAACTTCTATGTTGTGTTCTTACTTTTGTGGTGTACTTATAGAGTAAAAACTTCTATGTTGTGTTCCTACTTTTGTGGTGTACTTATAGAGTAAAAACTTCTATGTGGTGTACTTATAGGGTAAAAACTTCTATGTTGTGTTCCTACTATTGTGGTGTACTGTTCCTACTTTTGTGGTGTACTTATAGGGTAAAAACTTCTATGTTGTGTTCTTACTTTTGTGGTGTACTTATAGGGTAAAAACTTCTATGTTGTGTTCTTACTTTTGTGGTGTACTTATAGGGTAAAAACTTCTATGTTGTGTTCCTACTTTTGTGGTGTACTGTTCCTACTTTTGTGGTGTACTTATAGGGTAAAAACTTCTATGTTGTGTTCCTACTTTTGTGGTGTACTTATAGGGTAAAAACTTCTATGTTGTGTTCCTACTTTTGTGGTGTACTTATTGTGTAAAAACGTCTATGCTGTGTTCCTACTTTTGTGGTGTACTTATAGGGTAAAAACTTCTATGTTGTGTTCCTACTTTTGTGGTGTACTTATAGGGTAAAAACTTCTACAACTAGTTTAAGAAGGAGAATGACTGAAAACAACACTACACAAGCTTTATGGTCAACATCACAAATTTTTTCACCCATACAATATATCTATGTCTTTTTAACTGACAAGAATCATGTCTTCATGTCCTAAATCTTAATCTAATAGTTGCATGTTTATCTGTTTGGACATGGACTTGCTTTGGACAAATTCTTGATTTGCTTGCAATGCAATTGGCTGATTTACAGGAAATTTCTATGAAACTGTTGAGAAACATCTGTAAAGGGGAAATATATCCAAAGTCTCCAGGAATGAGGAAACACTCTTTTTTTTAGAATCATATTACAGCTGTTTACCTGTGGTGCACTTGTTGCTACCAGGAAGGCATTGGTACGTCCAGGATGATCATAATCATGCATGGCAGCGGCAGTATATAAAGCCATTAACTCCAAAGCGGGAAAATTTCCACCCATAATTCCATAGCTGTCATCTGCAGCAAAACTGTTCGCTCGATGTGTTAGGTTTGATCTGTATAAAAGTTCTGATTCTGAAATGAAAATTATTAAAATATGATATTATGCCATTTTCATATTAAACCAGAAATTGGTATTAACATGTTTCTACAGCTGAGTTCTTACTCTCCAATTTACCTTCTAATGGATTAATTAGTTGATTGAATTCCATTGATAAATATTTTGTGTATTCACCATGAGAACAAGTTAAAAATACATCACTTTGTAGAAGCTTAGAGGTAGGTGAAAACAAAGAAAAAGATACTGTGATTATGCAATTTCTAGTGCAACTGAAAACAAGGGAAATGAATGAAAATAACACTTTATGAATTTTATGGGTAGGAAGTGCTGTTACTGGATTAGCCTTCATTAGGAATGCTCAAATCCGTATATTTTATGGGTAGGAAGTGCTTTTACTGGATTAGCCTTCATTAGGAATGCTCAAATCCGTATATTTGAAAGTCTAGGATGTATAAGAACCAAAACAGATGAAGAGTATATGACCAAAAAGGACCAAAATTTTTTTTTAAAAATAGCCAAATCCATCTTTGGTCATTAACATTGCCCTGAATGGAGTTGAAACCTTAGTTTCTTCATAATTTATAAATTTATAAACGGACAAATTTAGTAAGGTTAGTAATATATAATTTTTTTAAATGATCTGAGTACTATAGTACTGACTACTGAGTTTATGATATAATATGTTAAACAATTGTGGTTTGTAAATTCTTAATCGATTCCTCTTGAACTTTAAGAAGTGCCATCATTTCATTTTTTGTCAATTGACGTCAGTCTTAGGTTTCTTCATGCATGAACAGCATTCAAACACGAAATATTATATAATACTACAATATAACATTCAAAATGTGAGAACAAGAAACATCTGTTGCTAATGGGGAAATAATAAGTTTTAAAAAAAGAGGAAGTTCGTCTATTGGTCTTTTGTGTTTAGGTGCAATAAAAGTGCAGTAAAGTCAAAATTTCTGTAAATTACACAACACATTTTTTGGCTAAAATACCGTAGAAAATGCACTGCAAACTCTGTCAATATCAACTTATATAAGTGAAATTGTAATCAATAATGTGTGGTTTTTAATTCATCAATTTTTTAATAACACAGGCCCAATTACATACTGAATGAATGAAACCTGAATCTTAACACTTTCAATATTACAATATTCAAGTAATCAATATCATATAGTACAAATAAGCCAATGAACAGTATGACTCATATCTAAATGAGTTTCTAAATCATTCAAAACGTGAGAACCGATACATGTATGAGTACCCATATAAGACTGTTCTGCTTTGGTCTAGTGTTAAGATTACAATGCAGTCTGTTGTATAATAGTTGTTGTCAGTAACTAAGGTCAAAATTTTTCTGGCTTTTTCTTGGCAGACATTTTCAAAAGCATTTTGTTTGCTACAATTGCTACTATTTTCAATTGTAATTAGTATGTGGATAAAATGAAATGTGGATGTAATTGCCTACCAGACAGCAATTTACCAATACAACTTCATCAACAATAGACATATAGAGAACACATAAAGTCTTTTTAATAACCAACACCACTAATTCTATACACATGATACAAATTGCAAAATAATATGAATCACAGAATAAATTTAACCTTGTTAAACCTATTTTTTTGTTTGATTATATTTGTACTTTTATTTACTGACAACTACGAAAATTTCTGCAGACGACAACAACAGATGTTCATTTTCTAAGAACAAATTTAACTCAATATAACGACTTTCTATCCTCTATAGCAGGACAACAGTACAAAACAGGTTCCTTAACTGACACAATGTATCGTCGCTGTCAACGTAATCAGTGTTCTCGACAAACTTCAGCCTATCTATCTGATTTGTATTGAATAGGAAGCCATTTCGTCTTACTTTAGACAGTACAAAATAATTTGGTGAGGTTGACAAAGATTGCTTGGTTAAACATTGTTGATTAATTCAGACACTTGGGGTTTCATCCAGGGATTCCAATTTCTCACTTCAAAAAGTTTAAGAACATTACCAATTTCCTGAAAATCCAATTTCTTCTTGATCAAATATGTTCATTATTAGCAAGCTTTACACAAGATATGTGCATTTCTTTACCAACAGATGCAAAAAAAAAAATCATTTTTAATAAAAAAAAATCTTAAATTGTCAGTTGTTTTTAGACAATTTTGTGAGATTTCAGGTAGAAATTATATTCAATGTGGACTGGGTTAAGGAGTACAAGAAAAAAATGCTTAGTGTCAAAAGATGAATATCAAAAACTGACATTATTCAAGTTTTGAAAGTAGAAAAACTGCAACACCGGAAGTATAGAGTTTTGACCAATTCATTGATACAATAATTAATTTTAACCTCCAGGATGCCCTCCACAACAATGACATCTACCATCATTTCTTTCTTTTTGTACTTTTGTATGTTAATAAGAGTTTGTCCTAGAGTCATATCGTTTGAGCCTTTGACATATATTAAAATAATCAACAAGATTGACAATATAAGCCCTAAGAATTTCTAATCAACCAGAAAAAGATTTTTCTTCTTGGAAAATATTTGTCATAGTAATCAAATGATTCACACAGCATTAACAAACCAATATTCTGAGTGAATGGAAAAGTTTTATGGACGTAATATGATATCTTGTTAATTTGCTTTTTAATTTAACACAATATCTCATATCTTAATTTTGGGTTTACCACTGAAACTTATTACTATCTATAAATAATATGTGTTAAGTCTCCCAGTAGGCTGAATGTGGTTTAGAAATATGGTTATATGGGCTTTACCTGTCTATAAGTAAGATATATGCTCAGAGTTCAACTGTTTGGCTGCCCTCTATGAATAAATAAACAGCCACCTCCATTGAATATAGACATGAAATCTGGTGCTAAGGTTGGAAGATTGCCACATTCTCAACATGTAAAATGTTAACTGACTATCTTAGGGGTCCACAGGTGACCTATACCTGGGTTAAATATTTGCTTCTACCCAATACCCTTAAATTTTGTCTTTTTCATGTGAGAAAGTGTAAGTGTTGGTTAAGGTAGAGGTGTACTACCAAAAGTTCTGGTAAGTCTTAGAGATTATCCAGTATATGACACATGACTATTGCTGTTTAACAATAGATTACGAGATAAGGTGTTAGTATTGGTGTCAAGGTAGGTGTTACTACACAATTATTTCTTGAAAAATCAGTGATATTTACCATATGGCATGTTGATGTGGAGGTCAATTCTGGTATTACTACCAAGACTGAATTTTAACATTTACCATGTGAGGTAAAAGTGTTATTGTCACACTAAATAAAAGCAAGAAGAAATACAGACATTTACCATGTGAGATGTAAGTGTAAATGTTACTACCAAGAAGAAATATTGACATTTACCATGTGAGATGTAATTATAGGTGTTACTACCAAGAAGAAATATTGACATTTACCATGTGAGGTGTAAGTGTAGGTGTTACTACCAAGAGGAAATACAGATATTTACCATGTGAGGTGTAAGTGTAGGTGTTACTACCAAGTGGAAATACAGATATTTACCATGTGAGGTGTAAGCGTAGGTGTTACTACCAAGAGGAAATACAGATATTTACCATGTGAGGTGTAAGTGTAGGTGTTACTACCAAAAAGAAATACAGATATTAACCATGTGAGGTGTAAGTGTAGGTGTTACTACCAAGAATAAATACTGATATTTACCATGTGAGGTGTAAGTGTAGGTGTTACTACCAAGAGGAAATACAGATATTTACCATGTGAGGTGTAAGTGTAGGTGTTACTACCAAGTGGAAATACAGATATTTACCATGTGAGGTGTAAGTGTAGGTGTTACTACCAAGTGGAAATACAGATATTTACCATGTGAGGTGTAAGCGTAGGTGTTACTACCAAGAGGAAATACAGATATTTACCATGTGAGGTGTAAGCGTAGGTGTTACTACCAAAAAGAAATACAGATATTTACCATGTGAGGTGTAATTGTAGGTGTTACTACCAAGAATAAATACTGATATTTACCATGTGAGGTGTAAGTGTAGGTGTTACTACCAAGAGGAAATACAGATATTTACCATGTGAGGTGTAAGTGTAGGTGTTACTACCAAGAGGAAATACAGATATTTACCATGTGAGGTGTAATTGTAGGTGTTACTACCAAGTGGAAATACAGATATTTACCATGTGAGGTGTAAGTGTACGTGTTACTACCAAGTGGAATTACAGATATTTACCATGTGAGGTGTAAGTGTAGGTGTTACTACCAAGTGGAAATACAGATATTTACCATGTGAGGTGTAAGTGTAGGTGTTACTACCAAGAAGACATTTACCATGTGAGGTGTAAGTGTAGGTGTTACTACCAAGTGGAAATACAGATATTTACCATGTGAGGTGTAAGTGTAGGTGTTACTACCAAGAGGAAATACAGATATTTACCATGTGAGGTGTAAGTGTAGGTGTTACTACCAAGTGGAAATACAGATATTTACCATGTGAGGTGTAAGTGTAGGTGTTACTACCAAGTGGAAATACAGACATTTACCATGTGAGGTGTAAGTGTTGGCGTTACTATCAAGAATAAATACTGATATTTACAATGTGAGATGTAATTATAGGTGCTACTACCAAAAAGAAAAACTGACATTTACCATGTGAGGTGTAAGTGTAGGCGTTACTACCAAGAAGAAATACTGACATTTGCCATGTGAGGTGTAAGCGTAGGTGTTACTACCAAAAAGAAATACAGATATTTACCATGTGAGGTGTAATTGTAGGTGTTACTACCAAGAATAAATACTGATATTTACCATGTGAGGTGTAAGTGTAGGTGTTACTACCAAGAGGAAATACAGATATTTACCATGTGAGGTGTAAGTGTAGGTGTTACTACCAAGAGGAAATACAGATATTTACCATGTGAGGTGTAATTGTAGGTGTTACTACCAAGTGGAAATACAGATATTTACCATGTGAGGTGTAAGTGTACGTGTTACTACCAAGTGGAATTACAGATATTTACCAT